TAAGGATGGGCTCGGGCGTGTTCGCAGCTCCACGTGCCGAGCCCGCCAGGAAGCTGACAGCGCCGCAGCGCCAATGACAGGTACCGAGACATTTTCCCGGTCCGCAGCTGCAGAGATCAGGAAATGTCTCAGTGCCTGTGATTGGCGCTGTCAGCTTCCTGGCGGGCTCGGCACGTGGAGCTGCGAACACGCCCGAGCCCATCCTTATTCCTGGGAAAGCCGGCTTCACGTTCCTGAACGTCACTGCCAGTCATAGGAAATCTTCCTCTGACCGGAAGTTCCAGTATTGGGGAAGGTATAGAAGCATTTGGAGGAGTACAAACCCAAATGCTCGATATCGGCACTGATACCAGTATCGGTGCATCCCTAATTTTAACCATTTCAGGCAAGATTTTACATTACATTTTTGTTGGCTTTTTTTCACACCAGTATGTTTCCATGGAAACTGTTGGTTCGCCCCTCACACCCCCCTTTTTAGACTATTCCTACCTCATATCTAAAATGAATCAATCCTTGGTGATCTTATATCATTCTTTTTAGATTTCAGTAAAAGAAAATTCAGATTCAGAATATAAACATTTTTCTTGTCCATTCAGGGATCCAGGAAGTGTTAACCTTCGGGTTATACTGCCACCTACAGGAGGATTGGACACTGGCAAACAAAAAAAAACTGTTGACCGGCCTAGGATATCCCTCGTAAACCAACATGCCTCAGGGATATAAAGACATCATTGAGGCAGGAAGGGGGGCTCTTGTAGCTCCATTCATTCTCCACCTGACACCTCTCTGTGCTCTCCATGTTAGAGAGGGGAGAGACTGAGATGTAGCTTGGGATTGTCACATAGAGGAAGTGTTGGCTTTCGGGGGGGGGGGTTTAAAAGGAAGTCCTCGTGTCCTAAAAATCCCACCACAGCGCCGACTCTCATCTGAGTTCTTGGCCAACTGAATTGAGAAGAGTTTTGTGATGTCGGCTCTGATAAGTGGATCACAGAGATCCTTACTGAGCCCTGATGTCGGCCCTGCGCTCTCTTGTTACCGTCTCACTCTGTTGGTTTTCCTTCCCCAGTACGCGCTGTACAAGAAGATGACGCAGGCGGCCATCTTGATCCAGTCCAAGTTCCGCAGCTACTACGAGCAGAAGCGTTTCCAGCAGAGTCGCAGAGCAGCCGTGCTGATTCAGCAGTGTTACAGGAGCTACAGAGAGGGGGCCCGCGGGGGACCGGCCTTACAACATCGCCTCAAGTGAGTGGGGACAGAGTACCCCCGAGATCTTGGATTCATCTCATCCGTCTCCAACACTGAGACCTCTCTCTTCTTTTCGCAGGGGGTCGTTCCTGACGAAGAAGCAGGACCAGGCTGCCCGTAAGATCATGCGGTTTCTGCGACGCTGCAGCCACAGGTAACATGACACGGCCGGGGTGGTGACAGGGGATGAATGATGACGGATGATTCATGCCGGTGACACTATGAAACCTATTTATAAGGATCTGTGCAATCGTTCATTTTCCTCCTGTCACACTCTCTCTACGTTCTCCAGCTAAATGTTTTATCAAAGTTTCCAAAGCTGAACATTTAAGTTTGTCCAATAATTTGGGGGGATATATTACAATGACACCTGGGAGTGGGGGGGATATATTACAAAGGCACCTGGAAGTGGGGGGTAAATGTTACAATGGCAGATAGAAAGATGTCTGAACACGCAGAGCATTGCAGGTTGCTGTGTATGGGGCTGTGTAGCCGCAGAGCGGTCAGGGGGCCCATGCTGACCCGTGTCCACCACCAAAACCACCTACAATGGGCGCGTGACCAAGTACACCCCTTCATGGAAACGGTGTTCCCTGATGGCAGTGGTCTCCATCAGCAGGATAATGCGCCCGGCCACACAGCAAGAATGGTTTAGGAATGGTTCGAGGAACACAACGACCTCACAACTTACAGGACCTGCTACTGACGGTTTGGCCAGCTTGATGCTGATTGGCCAGGAAGCCAGCCAATCAGCATCAAGCTGGTCAAACAGCCGGCTTCCCGGGTAATCGAGCTCAATTAATCTTGCTTGCCCGGGAAGCCGGCCCCATGCTAGCGGAAGTACCGGTACTCGATAGCGGCAAAAAAACTGGTATCGGTTCATCCCTAGTTCTCAGTACCATAAACCACCACCAACGTTGTCACCCAAGGACCCCTGTGGAAAGATTCGGCATACATGGTCCTCTGTCCTCCCTTCTGAACCTCGTCTCTCCGTTCTTTTATCTTCCAGGATGAAGGAATTAAAGCAAACTCAAGATCTGGAGTGTTTACAGAAGAGGGGGCTGGCCAAATAACCCAGAGCTCCCCGTCCCCCATCTCCGGAGCCCACCGCTGGAAACCCGCACACTGCCGGATGGGAGCCCGCCCGCCCGCCAGAGGGGCCACCACTCCCCAGCCTCGCGCATGAGAACGAGTGTGACTTATTGTATATATGTTGCATGTGAACGGCTGTGAGTCGATGTGACCGCATGTATGTACAGATGTAAATAATCTTGCTGGCGTGTGCTAAGGTCAGCACCCCCCCCCGTGACCACTCACCCCTTGTACTCTACGGCCCGGCATCGCTCCATAAGGGCTCGCTCCGGACTTCCCGCTCGCCACAGCACGCCTCTTTCTCTGACATGTCTAGACGCCACAGGCCGCCGTATGTACATAGGCTTTTATCTGTACATATATGTTTATATATATATTTATGCACGCTATCTCCGGTATACAAGAAATCGGGACATGACCCAGAGACACGTGCCGTGAACTTTACTTCTTTTGCGCACACGTGTGTGACTATGCCTCTACAAACATATACATGTGTGCACAAAATCGTACGGGGGGGGAGGGGCGCACATTATAATTTGCATGCGGGTGTATGTATATTTGTGTGGACGCCAGTGAGCGCGTCCAAGTGTGTGTGTATATAACAATATATATATATATATAGGGCTGCGTGTATATAAATCTATATTTTCTGTACATTTGTGGCAGGGACGGGGCGGTCCAACG